CTTTAAAAAAAAAAAGATTAAAAAAAAAAAAGTCATACAGTTGCTTTAGAATTCATTTAGAAAGAATATGATGTGAAGTATGTTGGTTATTCAAAAACTTACAAATTGTTCTTGGACTGAGACCGGAAATTTGACCGGAGTTGAGGTCAGCAGGATTTTTTCTTCTTCCAACGACACTAACGCAGCAGACGCAATTGGAGTCTGAAATGACAAGTTCAATAACGTTACATAATATTTCAATAAACTAAAGTTATTCTGAAGTGAAAACAATGCAGGTTTTTTCGTTGCCCAAATAAAAAGGAAATACCTCTAACATATACATATTGAGATTTCTGACCGACATAAGTGTCAATTTTATTTTTAAGCTTACATTAATTAACACTATTTTGTTCTAGTCTGCACTACATCAGGGGTTCATCTCGCAAATGTATCTGTTTCTGCAGTCATCTCCAAACATACAGCAACTTGCTTGTGTGGTAACGTTAGCATAAATAGACTAACACAGTTTTACAGAACTGTGGCTTTACTTTGATAACAGTCAACTAATATGTAATTATCTATCTAACGTCACTTTGCTAACTTTCCTGTTTTACTGCTAACAACTACAACACTATATGTAGGCTACTGTGTGATCAGAAACAGAGTCGAGTATTAGCGAGTCTTACCTCTAGGCGAATGCGTTTAGTACCAGAAGGCCCAGGCTGTTCGTCATCTGGAAATCTGAATATCGACGGGATTGCGGTGTCCTTCAGAGTGGTTCTCTTAATTCCAAGGACATTCGTTTCGTAGTCTTCCTGCTTGAAATGGCGACTGCAAATCCTACGGGTTTTCAGGTTTTCCATATCGGTGTCCTCGCCAAACTTCGGGTGGTTGATAGCCCGCAGCCATTGTTTACATCGCTCTAAATGTTTTATCGGAAAATGATGGAAACTTACTTCTTGTCCTTTCCTGGTTTTGTTTGTACATCCCGGTACAACGCAACTTAACACCATTTCGATGGAAATGTATCTAATTCACGATTTATAGAGTCACGATGTAACAAAGCAAGTCTAGTTGGATCAAACTTTTCGGATACTGCCGCCTGTAACCGGTAGGCGTGGTTTGGGAGTGGCCTCGTAAGGGCAGCAAACCAAGTGCATTCTGGGAGTTGTTGTCTTTCATACACATGAGTCAAAAATACATTTTCTGGCTTTTCTCAGTCTAGAAAACTCCAAATTCAAAAATAATTTCACATTTCTACTATATAAATGACCAATATTAAATACACATTCATGTTCCCAGAGCTGAAGTATCCCTTTAAATGGTACAATGCCACAAAACCCATGGAAACTATAGCCAACACAAGCTAACCTTGAATGAAAAAAACTTAACATTTCTCAATGTGGGCACAATGAAAATTACTATGATACTTAGTCCACAGTAAGCTCCATGTATGTATTTGTAAACATATCTTACATTTTTAAAGGAAAACATTGTCTTTTTTCACCATTACTCACTGTGGAACCATTTAAGCCCACCTTATGTGTTTCAATGAGGAAGCCGAGTTAAGGCTTGAGATTCCGGGCATGGAGAGATCCCAGAGGGACCCTACATTCCCCACAGTCCTGAACCCCTGGGACTGTCCAGCTCCTAGATACCCCCACTTCCAGTCCAGCTTTGACCGGGCAAAACTCGGGACCCAAGCCAAGTTGGGGCTCCGGACTCCAGGCATGGAGGGGTCACCCAGTGGGCTCCCTATGCCGGGCGTATTGAGCCCTAACTCGGCTTTCTTCCCGAGATATGGTCACTTCCTGTGGAATTTTAATATGATCGGGCCGATCGGGCCGATCCTACGAACGCCGATCCAAGCCTGCTGTTCGCGCTCACCTTATCACAACTTATAGCTCGTTCACATTCTCACCAGCGCACTTGGATCGGCGTTCGTAGATCGACTGGTAAAGACTGTATTTCAAAGATGGCTCCTGTCTGTATACGCGAAGTTGACTGTATGTTTAAAATATCTTCTTATTAAACTGTCTGGACACTGACAAAGTTCTCAATGCTTCGGTTTGAAGGTAGGGACCCTCATTATGCTACCGTGTTAGTGTGGGGCTATTTTGAGCCTTGTTAGTGGTATTAACAAGCGATTTTTATTTGTCATTACACTATGCCCAATATACTAGCGTTATACTAGCTTTATAGGCTAAACTGTTTTTAGAGATAAAACTATTTACATTCGATAATCATGAAAACAAATCTCAGATAACGGTTGACTAGGTAACAATGTGTAATTAGACCAAAGGTTCATTTTGCGCCGGAGTTCTCCTTTAAGCCCAGAGTATGGAGCCCCAACTCTGCTTGGCTTCCGAGATACACCCGGTCAACCGTCCAGCTTGGCTCCAGTCAAGCCGACTTTAGGCTCCAGACCACCGGCCACTAACACCCACCCATCCCACCCAGGGCTCTAATCAAACATTAGCAAAAGGAATTTTTTTAATACTTCCCTGTCACTGAATAAATATATTGATGTTTTACTTCTTTAAAATCAATACATTTTTTATATTTTGTGAATCAATGATGATGTGGGCTTATTTGGAACACACGCGGGCTTAAATGGTGCCAAAAGTACCAATTAAGCCCATGCCAGACTTCTGACTTTATTCCTAAATTATCTTAATTTTATATTCTAAAATGTACATCAACTAATTAATACATTTTCAAATTAGATAAATCTTGCATTTTAACTAATTATTTTCTGTATAAACCATGTCAATATCTATGAAAAAAACCTAGACTAAGATTTTGGTGGGCTTAATGGGTACACTTACCCCTACTTTTTCCCATTTTTTATCTTTCACTGTTGGCATATGATGAAACAAAGATTGCTAAGTAAACAGATTTAACTAATAGACCTACCAATCTCTGTGTAAAAATAAAATAATAATGCGGCCATCTTTCTGAAGTCATATTTACCCCCCTATAATTTGGCTCCAAATCTCGACTCAGATAAATTGTTTTTTGTTTTTTTTTACCCACCATTTTTTAAATTACTATTATTATTATTTGGAGTATTTTTGCTTTCTGGTTGAGTTGACACGGAAAGACCCAATAGGGTTGTATAATATATTCAACTGAAATGTGGTATAGAGCTATTTAATTCTACCTGTTTTCTTCATGTGGATTAATCACATCTGTTTGTACCACTCATTTGTATGCCACTTTGGACATATCAAAATAATTTGATGTTTATAAACTGCTAAAACCACATTGACTTTACTGACATCTAGAATAACACTGTAGAAGAGCTAGGGCTGGGCGATATGGCTGAAAACTGTATCACGATATCAGTGTTTCATATCGGTCGATATCGATAATTATTGATTTTTTTATGACCCATTTAAAATAAGGACCAGGAGAAAAAAATATATTACATTTAAACATTTTTATTTTAAACTTACCCTTCCTCTGATTACAATCCCAAGACAGAAATGTCAACACAACCATGGAAAACTCAAATAATTAGAATGTAAACATAAGTCTAAATTCACAATCAGACCTGCAAACTCCTCAGAGTAAAAAAGGTGACAGTGGCGCGGCGGGACGGGGGTGGTGGGGGGTTGTGATCGTACGTGCCCCTGCTTGATTTCTTTTTTGAGACATCACGGTTCGGTACGATTTCGGTACAATGGAGTGAAAAGCAAAACAGAAATATATTAGGCTTTTTTATAAATGTCTTAAGCCTTGTATTTTTTAAATAAGTTTTATTAATAAAGGCATAGAACCAGTTTATTTATAGTGCACTGATAATAGTTTTATATAATTGGTTTATTAATTAAACTAATAAAAAGATAGAAATGAGATATGTTTGGTAATTGTACCTGAATGAATTTAAAATTAATTTGCTATATTTCAGATCAATATATTTGTTTTCCTTAATTTTAATTAACCCTAACTTTATTCTCATCAGAATTATAAATAATTGATTTCCGTATAAAATAATCTACCAACATATTTCACTTTCTTTTTTAATCAATGTGTAACTTAAAAATAAACAGATTAGTGCTCTGTTTTGAGGACAAGAAATGAAAACCAATGCGATATGATGAATGTCCAAAAGATGGAACACACAGACTGTTTTAAAAAGGGTTAGATAAATATGTTTTGCTTTTAAAACGGTGTGTGACAGTTGTAGGTTACAGTTTGACAAGAAATACAGTGTGACAAAAGCACAATGTTGTGTTTTATTGCGAGTATAGGCCTACACAAATATAAGTAAACACTTTGCAGACTGAATGATGTCCTGTATTAACAAAATGACGGAGTATGTTTTTATGTCTCCACTGTTCGATCGCGCCCGCGTGTCTCTCTCTCTCTCTCGCGCCTCTCTCTCTCGCGCGCGCGCGGAGTCGGACACACACACACACACACACACACACTCCAGCATTGAAATCTTGACATCGCAGCCTGTTCATTATGCTGTGTTCACATCAAACGCGAATAGAGCGAATTATCCAATAATGTTTCGCAACTCTAGCCTGCATGGCATGCAGATGAAGGGCACTCATTTTCTGCTTATCAATCGCCGGTTACTGAAGAGGAACCCAGCAGCACGAGACAACGATATGGCGCAACAAAACTGACACGTTACATGATTGCCTGAGCGTGTCACTCCCTACGTTGCTAGGTTACCAGAGAGCGCGTGCCTTTGATAATGCAACCAAACTTGCTTCGCAACCTGTGGTTTCTTCCGACGAAGAAAAAAAATATCGAACGTTTTATCGAACACATTTTTTATTGATATCGATCACGTGTCTATCGCGATACATATCGTTATCGTTTTATCGCCCAGCCCTAAGAAGAGCTATCAGTAACAAAAAGTCCAGGGTGGGACAGTGAGATAATGCTGAGGTCACGCCCACATTTTACAAAATTCCAGCACCTCTAAAATAATATCAATATTACATTCCGTGTCTAGTTTACAATTCAAACATATGAAACGCTAAAACGATACAGCATATTACCTGTAAATGATGATGTCATACAGTGTCCTGCCTTGAACATTGAGCATGTGTGCATACATCGCAGGCAGTGCATCCTCTGCCAGAAGAGCTGTGTCATTGGTTATTATCCCTTGAAGAAATGAATTCATGTCTTGTCCAGACACATTGATGAGAGTCCTGTGTGGTAAGCTGTAAAAGCTAAAGTGTCCTATATGGTTGGTGGGTTGATCTTGAGAGTGTTTTCTAATCTGAGTCCTGCTCACACTCTCATGTCTCGTACAGAGAAAATAGTGCGCATGAAGTCCGCCTGATCCTGCCACGATCGCTCTGAAAGCACTGCCAAACAAAATCACCCGTTGCATTGTGTAGTTTTCTTCAGCGCAACTATGAAAGCTCCACAGAACGAGAGTTTGTGTTATCTTGTCTCCCACCTTCCATTTTCATTCCCATACTGCATTGCGAATGTTGTGTTTGAAGCGAAATCTTCTTCTTCTTCTTTTTATTGGCGGTTGGCATACCAATTTAGTGCATTACCGCCACCAACTGTTTGGGGTGTGGAGCTTCAATGCGGATTTCTACTAAAAAAAAAAAAAAAAAAAAAAAAAAAAAAAAAAAAAAAAAAAAAAAACTATATATATATATATATATATATATTTATTTATTCTTGGTTATTCTTAAATTCGATCGAATAAGTCTGTTTCTTTAAGGTATCTCATGATAGCTGGCCATGCTGATGGTTTTGATGTAGAAAAGGAAAGTAAACCCTCTACTGATAAATGTGTGTAACCTAATTCTTTAACTTGTTCTAACAGTATGATTTGTTCTGTTCTGTATGCTTCACACTCTATTAATATATGCTCTACCGTTTCTCTCTTGTCACAATTAATGCATAATCCTGTTGCGTGTTTCCCTAAATGACTGAGATTATGATTAAGACCTGTGTGTCCAATTCTTAGCCTTGTGATTACAGATTCCTTCCTTCGCTTCCAACCACCCTGCCTCCTTGTTTTCACTTGTTTCTGTATTTCATATAAAAAAACAACCTTTTGTCTCCTTTTCCCATTGCTCTTGCCATAACCCATTGATTCTTGTTTTAATGATACATTTAATTTCCATTTTACTCAATGGAACTGTCCATTGTATGTCTGATTTAAGAGTTTTTTTAGCCAAACGATCAGCTTCTTCATTACCCTATATCAACGTGAGATGGGACCCACATAAAAACACACTGGAATATTAAGATTTTTTAATCTATAAAAACTATGAAAGATTTCATAAATCAAGTCAGGCCTACAAACAGATTTACAATTTGCAATACTTATTAATGATGCCATTGAGTCTGAACATATAATATATTGATTAGGCCCAACCTCCTCTATCCATGTGAGTGCTAGTAAAATAGCTAAAAGCTCCACAGTGTACACTGCTAAATGATCTGAAGTTCTTTTTAAAATTGATTTCTGAAAATGTGGTATATATACTGCTGCTCCCGTCTTTCCTGTACTTGGGTCTTTTGATCCGTCTGTAAATATTTGAATACTATTATTATAGTTGATACCTAAATATTGTTTTTTGAAGCGAAATACGAATCCTACTATGGCGAAGGTTTACCGTCGCTCTCGCGATACTTTGTTGCATGATCACTCAAACCATATATGGAAATAAAAGAGTCCTTATAGTTTTTTTTTTTTTTTTGCAATAACAATAGGGGAATACAGAGTCATACAAAACACTTGAATCTATAAAAAATTAAGATCACAATTCTGCATTTTGTATCAAACAATCAACCATACATCTAATACATGAAGCCTATCCTTTTCAACAGCTGAGATGTCTTAACAGCTTTACTATTGTTCTGTATTGAAGTCAGAGAGTCGTAAAAAAACAGTGGAAAATAGTCCGTGAAAGTCAGTGGAAAATAGTCTACCATTTGGTACAGTTAACATACATTTTGCTTTATGATATTTCCCAAATAAAATTTAAATGTTATATTATTCATTTCCAATAAACCGGTATCATAATCCATAAACAAGACCATTATATCAGTTATAGTGACAAATTTGTAAAACACCTATAAAATAAACATAGACACTTTGGACCAAAATAATTTGGTATAATGACTCTTTCCTCTTTACAAAAACAACTTAATGGAGAAACCCCTTCTTTAAACTTACTGATAAAATCATTACGTGGATAATATATGTTTATTATTTTAAAGTGAGTTCCCTTTCGTCCTGGGAACTCCGACGTGTCGTCGGGGAGTTCCCTGACGAATTGGGATCACGCTAGGGAGCCTAATTACCTCTGATAGAATTAAAAACGAGCCAATAAAAATTGCCTACAAACGCGGATATAAAAGCAGAAGTAAAACATTGCATAGACGCTTTTTGCTTCGGAGCCTCTCAGAGCTTACCTGCTGTTCTGAAGTTTGGAACGAGCCTGGAGAAGAAACGTTCGGTGTGCTGGTGTGACGGTGCTTTCAGTGATCCTCGTCTCAAGTGCAGCACGCGGTTGCAGTTTCCGGCGGTGTCTGCGGCGGTGATCCCTCGGCGCTTCGGCACTGGAGAGCAGTTTCTTTTTTATTTTGTTTTGCTAAAAGAGCTCCACGGTGTGTTCGCGTCCTTTTCAGGATGTCGACTCGCCCGTGCGTTTCTGGATGCGGTCGACTTCTCCCTCAAGCTGATGGCCACAAACACTGCTTCACGTGTCTGGGCTTAGCACACGCTGAAGCGGCGTTTGTGGATGAGTCATGCTCTCATTGCGGGAGTATGACTCTCGCGATGCTACGTTCGAGACTGAGATCCCTGAAACATGGGGGAGTCCCTTCAGAGAATCTCCGGTCTAGTTCGTCTGCTGGTTCAGTTCAGCAGACGGCTACTTCGGTGATTCCTGTTGGTGAGCGAATGAGGATTACTCTGAGAAACGCGACAGGTGAAAGATCCTGTCGGGCGCCTCACACCTCTAGTTGCAGGCTGCCATCGGCGCTTCCGGTGGAGCGGCCGGAGCCCCCTCGGGCGGTTCCGGTTGTCTCCTTCGGCGCGCCACCTGAGGATCAGATGTCGATCGCGGTATCGGAGGAAGAGCGGTCTTCTGGCGAAGACTCTACGGCGCTGCCCCCTTCAGGTGTGGTGGCGTCGGTGGAGCCTGACCCGGAAATGGCCGCTATGCTCGAGCGGGCGGCCGCGAATGTCGGGCTTGCGTGGAACCCTCCACCGGGTCCCGAACCTTCGCGGCTAGATGATTGGTGTCTCAGAGCGGGTCGTGCTATTGCCCCACGGCCTGCTCCAGTCCCTTTCTTTCCCGAAGTGCATGAGGAGTTGAGGAAGTCTTGGTCGGCGCCTCTGGCGTACAGGCGGAGACAACCTCGCTCCTCCTTCCTTACCACTCTGGACAGCGGGGCGGCGCACGGGTACGAGGGAATCCCCCCAGTGGAGCGGTCTATCGCGATGCAACTGTGTCCGAAGACCGCTTCCTCCTGGCGGGGTGCCCCTTCACTCCCCTCCCGCGCCTGTAGGTTTTCCTCTGGTCTGACCGGGGATGCCTACATGGCGTGTGGAGACGCCGCCTCCGCCCTGCATGCCATGGCGTTGCTCCAAGTCCATCAGGCTAAAGCACTCCATGACTTGCAGGCGGGTGGTCCCGACCCAGACGAAAGTCACCGCACGTTCGCTGGGTCGGGCGATGTCCACTTTGGTGGTCCAGGAGCGCCACCTGTGGCTGACCCTGGCAGATATGAGGGAAGCGGAGAAGAACAAACTTCTCAACTTCCCCGTATCCCAGGGCGGCCTCTTCGGCGACGCGGTGGAGAACTTGGCCCAGGAGTTCTCCACCGCTCAGAAGCAGTCGGAGGCTATACGGCATGTCCTGCATAGGAGGCGGCCTGCTGCGGGTCCGTCTCCTGTGGCTGTACAAGCTCCGGCTGCTTCCCGTCGCCGAGGTCGTCCTCAAGCGCCAGCTCCTCCTCCAGCGCAGCCTACCACCTCTGGAGCGAGGAAGTCTGGTCGCAAGAGGGCGGCCCAGCCCGCTCAGACGCCCCCGGCCCCTTCCCGTAAAAGGAAGGGAGGGAAGCGCTCCTGAGACGGGGTACCTGAAGGAGGACCGGACAACTGCTCTTCAGGAGGGTGCCCCTGCACGCCTCCTTCCCCCGGGGGAGGGCCGGCGGGAGAATATTCTGTTTCATTTTGTTTCTGTTCCCAAAGAGTCAGTAAAAGAGCAGTTTCCTCTTCCTCTTCCAGGTCATCCTCGGTCGAGATTGACGGGCACTCAGGGCCACCCAAGAGGGTCCGAACGACGGTGGATGCTGTCTGCGAGCAGCATCGCTCTCGTTCCCCTCTTCCCAGTCTGCAGATAGCAGCGACGCTACCCCGGTCGCGTCGCTCCGGTCGGCGGCTGGGCCCAGAGGGGCAGAGACCAGTTCACGAGGAGTCAGGGCCTCGTGCCTCGTCTCTTCCCCTCCCCTCGCCACGGGGCAGCCCGCAGCAGAAAGCCTACGAGCTCTCTCTGCCGTCTGCCCCACGGTGGACCGCCCAGACCCCGCTTCCAGTGGCTACATTGCCACTGGAGCCGGGTCCCGGCCTTCCACCTCGCTGCCCCTCCGCGGGTATGCCGGTGGTTCGGGTGGGCTTATTGGGTCGGTACCTGGAAGCCTGGCTAGCGCTTCCGGGTCCGTCCCGATGGCTCATCCGCACCATTCGGTTCAGCTATGCAATTCAGTTTGCACGCCGGCCTCCCAGGTTCAGGGGCGTCCACTTCACCCGTGTGCGGTCAGTGGATGCCCCTGTCCTGCGGAAAGAGATCGATGTCCTGCTGGCGAAGGACGCGATCGAGCCGGTCCCTCCTGCCGAGATGAGGTCCGGGTTTTACAGCCCCTACTTCATTGTACCCAAGAAAGGCGGTGGGTTACGGCCAATCCTGGATCTGCGAGTTTTGAATCGGGCCCTGCACAAACTCCCGTTCAAAATGCTCACGCAGAAGCGCATTTTTGAGTGCATCCGTCCCCAGGATTGGTTTGCAGCGATCGACCTGAAGGACGCGTACTCGATTCTTCCTCGTCACAGACCATTTCTACGGTTTGCTTTCGAGGGTCGAGCGTATCAGTACAAGGTCCTACCCTTCGGGCTGGCCCTGTCGCCCCGTGTCTTCACGAAAGTCGCGGAGGCGGCCATTGTTCCCATGAGAGAACAAGGCGTTCGCATTCTCAACTATCTCGACGACTGGCTCATTCTAGCTCACTCACGGGAGGTGTTGTGCGATCACAGGGACATGGTGCTCTGGCACCTCAGCCGGTTGGGGCTTCAGGTCAACTGGGACAAGAGCAAACTCTGCCCCGTGCAGAGGATCTCTTATCTCGGTATGGAGTTGGACTCGGTCGCCCAGACCGCGCGCCTCACGGAGGAGCGTGTCCAGTCAGTGCTCACCTGCCTCAGGTCTTTTCGAGGCAGGACAGCGGTTCCA